ATTAACCTAAACTATAGCTACCTACTAAATATAATATATCATTTTTTACACAATATAATGTTTTGAATAATAAACATTACTAAATTACAGTAATAAATTAAAAAACAAAAAATAATTTTAATAGTGTTATATTACAAAGCTTGTTATGCTTCAATTGGCAAAATAGCTAGCTTAGTAATAGATCTCGAATATACATCATTCTGAGTCTTGACTTCTACTACTCTAACCTTATTGTCCTTTCCTGGAATTACTCTAATAATTCTAGCCAGTGGCCATTTCAAAGATGGTAAATTTTCATCTTTGAGAAGGACTAGCATGCCTTCTTTGACATTGGGTACATCCAAATGCCACTTGGGTCTAGATTGTAATTGACACAGGTCATGTTTGAACCAACGGTTCCAGAAGTGCTGTTTAATTTGATAGCAATGGTTCCAAAATTTTAACCTATTTTCTGGAATAGATGTAAGATCTGGTTCTGGGAAACTCGTTAATGGAGCACCAATTAAAAAATGCCCTGGACTTAAATAAGAAAGATCGCAAGGATCATTTGATATTTGCGTCAATGGTCTAGAATTTAAGATTCCCTCAATCTCAATTCTATTAGCTACATATGGATTTAGCTTTATTGGATCGGCTTTGATCCAAGCTATATTGGAATCAGAGTTTAGAATGATTTTGTCTATTTTCATTTTGAGAAGATTGTGGACAGTAACTGCCAAATTGCAAAGTAGAAGTGCACTATTTAACTCTAATCGAGGAATGGTAGTCTTTTTATTTAGAGGAACAATTCTGGATTTTGAACTAGCTCTGAAGCATCACAATAACCAACTAATTCAATGCTTTTCGCACTGGTGAAATTCAAGGATCTTTGATGATAATGGGAGGCATATTAAATAAGTTGTGTACAAATTTTTTCCACGAGTTCGATAAATCATTTGGTAAAATATCATCCAATTTAAATTTAGGCTCCACAATTTTTGCATAAATAATTTGGCATTGCCCAAAATTGGACCTACTATGCCAAGAGGGTCATAAAATTTAGAAATAAAGCTTAATATTTGACGTTTTGTTAAGAGTGCCTTGGAGTCATTTTTTGGGGAACTTATTTTGAAACTATCAGTTTTTGGTTGTAAGATAAACCTAAAGTTTTTACGACTGAATCTGTTTTATTCATGTCGATATCATCTAGGTGACATATTTCTCTGGGTATGCCCTGCAAGATAGATATTTCGTTAGAACACCATTTATGTAGTTGAAAGGAACCCAACTTTAGCATGTCAATTAATTCATTTCTCAACTTGATGGTTTCATTGAGAGTGTCAGCGCCTGTCAAAATGTCATCGACATAGGTGTTATTTAGTATAGCTTGGGAAGCTAAACGAAATTTTTTTCCTTCAAGATTAACAAGATGTACCAAACATCTAGTGGCCAAAAAGGAAGAACTTTTTAAACCGTAGGTTACGGTTTGTAGTTGTAGGCATAATATGTTTGAGTTGGGGTTTTCTCTCCATAAAATGTTCTGTAGGGGACAATGTTTTGGATTTATTCGTATCATCCTATACATCTGCTTAATATCACTTAGCACAACATACTTGAAGGTGCGAAATAAAATCAAAATATCAAACAAAGAGTTTTACACAACAGCACCATTAAAGAGAAAGTCGTTTATAGATCTTTTACTTTTGGACTTCATGCTTCCATCAAATACTACCCTGAAAGACGTTGTTCTCTTGTCCTCACGAATCACAGGGTGATGACCCATCAAATAAACCTGTCCACTATTCAATTCATCGTCAATAATATTTAGAATTTTGGCGTGACCTAAATCTAAGTATTTATTCATTTATGAATATTTGATATTGCTTGAAAATATTGGGATTGGATTTGAAACGTCTCTCGAGATTTTCTAATCGCTTAAGTGCAATTGAGAAGGAATCTCCTAAATTGATATTCTCTAGTGGCTTTTTTAGAGGTAAGTCAACTTGAAATCTGCCATTGATTCTTTGAATGGAGCTATTAAAAAGTTGTTCGCAAGCTTCTTGCTCTGTTGAATATTCAGTATAAATTTCTGGGACTCTCACGAACTCCCAAAATTTCGACATGAGTTGATTCAAATTGTTGCATGTTACTCCCAAATGAGTACAAGAAGAAAATACAGAAGGTATTGAGCCACTGACAATAGCCAAAGAGTGTGTTCTGAAATATCAAACCATTATCAAGACTATGAGTTTTATTTAATTAAGATTTTGAAGAATATTTCTGCAGAAAATAAAATGTCTATGTCATTTGGACAACTGAATGTGTCATCAGAAAGAGTAATGTTGGGAATTTCTAACTTGCAAATAAATGGAGATTGAGGCAATCTACTGATTTTTTCGACCACTGCACATTTAACGGAAACTTCAAAATCATAAACGGATGACTTGACATCGACAAAAGCTGCATTATTGCAATTTGTGCGATTTTCGGAAATCCCAATAATTGCTAAATCATTTGTAAATGGCTTTAAATTTAGTTTTTTAAGAAAGCTTTGAGTAATTAGAGAGATTTGGGATCCTGTATCTAGCAAGCATTTTGCAATTATGCAAGAATTATCTTTGGTTTTAATTTTTGCCTTAGCTGTAGGCAGAATGGCATTACTATTTTTCGAGTTATACAAAACTTTAGATTTATTATTTAAAATTATGTTTACCTTAGAAAATTGTTTGTTCAGAATTCAGATGCAGCAGTGTATTGTGGTTTTTATCACAAATTTGACACTTTCTTGGATAGCGGCAATAATTGTTTCCATGAAAATTCAGACAGATTCTACAAATTTTATTCTTATCTACAAAGGAATTTTTTTCAGGAACCGACAATAACTTAAACTTTGTACAATTATATATTTTGTGACCTTTAATGTTACAAAACAAGCACTTGATATCGAGCTAATCACTCTCTGCTTTTACATTGAGGAGAAATAATTTTTTATTATGTCTGTCAGAACAGTTAGAATGGCTGCCGACAGTTTCTAAGGCAGTTGATCTATTTTCTAGAAAGGTTAAAAATTCGTTCAAAGTTGGCAATTTGGATGTATTCCTGTCAATTTGAAATGCTTTATTTGTATAGGAAGCAATTTAGCATTAGAAATAGGAGAAGAAACAGTCTGAGAGGTAGGCATATTTGTATTAAATGCATTATTGGAAAAATTGTTATTTGTGCCATTTGAGGTGCCATTATTATGTGCATTTGTTGAAATTCTAAGATTTAATTTGTTTAAGACTTCAAAGTATTCGTGTTCAAATTCTTCCGACTGATTTTCTTGACCAGGATCTAATAAAAGCAACTGAATCTGATTGCTTTGAAAAGTTTCAAAATATGATTTCAAATGTTCTTTTCTAAATTCCAGTTGTTGACCGAGATGGGCCGTTAAAGGCTCACTTTCGTGTTCAAATATAAATGTATTTAATCTTGCCATGCCAGCCCTTAATTGGGTTATAGCCATATTAAGTCTAGCAATTTCCTTTTTTGACATTTTGTCAATGTCGTTATAATACACAAATATTGATACTAAATTTGTAGCAACGTTTAAAAAAAAATAGAAAACTTAACTAATATAAGTGCATTCAAACATTTACCTATTATCAGTCTTATTATGCTGCGGCAAATGAAGATGAACGCAACACTTGAATCAGTTATTACATGGGGTGTGCACGCACTTGCTCCTACAATGTACTGTACAATATAAGGCGGTTACACACGGACGTGGATGTCTGGAAACATGTACGCACATACATAAACGCGCAAACAAAAACATCAATGTGTATGCAAAATATCGTCGCGTTTTTGAATGTGCAATTTTGTATGCACACTCGGAATACTGTAGCAAGAATAGCAAGACTGCAGTTTTGTGCGAGCGTCTGTACAAAAGCGCCATGCACGTTGTTGTCTGCACGTTGATGTATGCACGTATATGTATTAAGACATCCACGTCCGTGTGTAACCGCCTATTGTCTTGTCTTGCACGTGGTACACAATAATTACTTTTTCAAGTTTTTCTCCACCATGGAAACACTATTCGGGGTTTTATCTTTTGTACTGGAGGCATGGAGGAGATCAATTTCCGTGTCGAAGGACCAATATGAAGGAAATAAAATAAATTTGCTTACCTTCATGCTTCTCTAGCTCATGGATGCAAGTAACAATTTTATAATATTTACAAAGATATCTACGAAAGGTAGAGCTGAATCGTGTGTTCGAAACACACCATATTATAAATATTCTTTACTGATAATAATTATTATATAAAAAGGTACAAAACCAAGAGAATGATCAGAACAAGATAATGAAGATGACAAATTAATAATGACAAATTTAAAAATCTATCACATCTGACATGTCAGGTACCTATATTTATTAATAAAACTCATCAAAGTTAATGGTTGTGTTTGAAGTTGTCTCCAACACACATAATATTTAAAATCAGAAAAAAGTTGAAAACTAACAATAAGATGCTTATGCTTATAATATAAGAAAAATAATATGTAGGTACTGTTTCATTGTGAAACTTAAGCTAAATAATAAAACCTTCTTCTTTCAAAATAGCATATACACTTATTAATTCAACATCATAATACATACGATGCTTTTTGCCAACTTTAACTTCCAGACACTTAAAATCCGGGATCAATTCCTTTAGTCGTCTCTTAGTGGGCTCAAAAATATGAAAACCTAAACATAAAATTAACATTATGTGACTGGAAAAAATAAAGTTAATTGAGAGTATTCCAGGTCCAGAAATAACTGTGGAAGAACATTTCTTATTGTATGTGCATACGGTCAAAAATAATTTCCAAAAGAAAAAAAATATACATTTCTAGAACTTTTTGCAGAGCAAAGAGCAATTTCTTGCACTCACAAGTTGGAGGAATTTTTTTTTTCATCTCTAATCAAACATCTAACAAAATTCCAATAATTCACTTACCTCTAATTATAGCATTTATTCCAAATATTTGAATCGTCTACATTTCTTCTGGTAATTTTCTGATATTTGCCCTATCAACTTTTGCAATGTTGCCATAGTCAACAAACTTCACCTCAATTGTTTTGTCATCATCATCACCAGTTGCCATAGCCCTGCACCAAAACCCTGTAAGCGAAGAGTTTTTACGATAAAGTGCAGGAAAAAATCTCAAATCTCAGAATTCGGTCATAGTCACTGGGAAAAAAAAAGTTATATTAGCCCCGCTCAAAGGAATTGAAATGTTTCCTCTTGAACAAACCCCTGTGGTATATTGAAATTCCCAGAACTAAAACCTTCCACAAGTTTGTACAAATTTAAAAGTCCTAAAAGTTACTTTATAGAATTTCAGGATTTGCAAAAAAAAAGGCTCCCTCTAGTTTTGAGTATTTGAAGTTGAATGAACTGTTCATGACCATATTATTTCCAGATACATGAAGTCATAATGAAATAAATTCTTCTAACCTTCCCTTATGGCCAAGCACATTCCAAACTGGACTGGTTCGAATGGCTCATTGTCCCCTGGAATAGCCAAAGAGGTCAATTTCTCAATCAAACGTCTTCGTTCGGGAGACCATTCTACCAAGGTCAGAGTAGCACCATGGTACGAGAAACACGCGTAGGGAGCCCGACTCTTTTTAGGCTCTACAAATGGCATATCTCTAAAGAGAGTTTGTACAGCTGCAAAAAACATAATTATTTCGATTTATTTTAATGCAAATGGACAACCTACATTTTTTATTTTCACTTATTGTGGTGTGGCTACGACTAATTGCATCTAATTTTGGTGGTGTAAGTTGGGAGGTAATTTTTGTCGATAATAATTCCCCATCTACCGTGAAGTCTATGTGTCCATTAACTTCGATCTGGAATAAAAAACCTTTGAATTAAAAGTTGAATAGAGTATATTTTTGACTTACCGATCTAATTCTGGGTTTTTTTTCGATTAATGAGCGCAACAATGTAATTCCCTCATCTGTTGCTCTCTCTAGGGGTGGGTAGTTAATTTCAATAAGAGCTGGTGGCAAAGAAGCCAGAGTTTTGTCAATGTTTCTAAGCGATGTTAAAGGAAGTGTCTCTTCTAAAAAAATTAATGAGCAAATTTAAATGTTTTAGATAAGTTTGGCTTTACAAACCTCTGAAAAAATCAATCAGCTGCAAAGATGCCCATTCGCCATTGATCTCCTTGATAAAAGCTCTAACAAGACCATCTCCAAAATCAAAACAATTACACAAAACATACTGGCCCACTTTTGGATTAGCTACGGCTGACAATTCTAAAAATATTTTTTTCTGTCAACCGTTTATTAACGTGATTCATTAATGTATACAAAATCGTTCAATAATGACCCTCATTAATGCATGATTTTCCATCAATGCATGATTTCTAATCAATATGGCGGCCTAGGTCAAACAGTGGAATTGGCACTATAAGGCAATCGTGATGTTTTGTTATCGTAAAACCGTTTCCTCTGTATTTGGTGGTGTTTCAATGTGATTTTCTATAGCTTGAGAAGGATAATTTCTTCTTTATCTTAAGAAGTGCAAAATTCGGGGGTTGGCAAGAGATATGCTATAATAGGGAACTTGCCAGTGAAGTGAAATTTTCCAAATTTGTTTTAAATCGATAGTTTATGCTGCACAATATTCATATGACCAGTTTTTATTTAACTGATACCGCCCTTGTTACACAAAAAATAATATTAAATTTGAAATAAAAATTTTCCCGCCAAAAAAATGGTCCTATGATGAATACCTGTTTTGACGTCACGATTCTGTAAACAAACCCGTCAATAGGGAAATCTGTGATAGGGAATTTGCACGTAAAAAAAATACAAAAGCAGTCCTTCACAATATTCTTCATCCATTGCGACAATTTCCACAAAAAGCAAACTTTAACACACTTGAATAACACAAAAATAGCACTGCGTCAGCAAGAGTTCGTTTGCTGCGTATTTTATGTTTACAAAATCTCAACGTCACAAGCGCTGTCAAATTGAAATTTCGTGTTTTCGCGCCAAAGTATTTCATTTGAATTTCAATAATTTTTTTTTCGTACAACGTATAAATTAAAATGGAAAAAAAGAAAATTATGTTATAACTGATGACTAGAAGTATCTAAAAAAAAATAATTTGAAAAATATGAAAATTCCCTATTATGCTGAAATCCAACAGATTATTTAAGGTTCGTCAAAGAAAATTTAATACCTATTTATTTATCCATATTCCCATTAAAAAAAAATAAGACCTAAGACAAATCGCTCTTCTATGTCAAAAACCTGTATTTTGCCCATCCAGAAACGACATAGAACTCTTCCACCACAACTACAATACATATCGCAGGCATTTTTGAAAACCTAAATGCTTTGAAAAAAATCAATAAAACGTAGTTTATAAACAAACACACATCACAGATGAATGACCTATCCGCCATATTGAATTGTCAAGATGGCGCCGTGGCATAACAAACTTGAAGTCCATGTGTATTTTCTGTGAATTTCTAAGTGTTTTTTTAGTTTGAGAACGTTTTTTGATAGAAATTTTTATTATTGGCGTTGCTGTGGTTCATGTAATGCATGTTTTTGACATTCATTTGCCTATCACACACTTTATATTTGTTATAAATGGGCCTTTCTACCTACTTGAGGTCCGTTTTGTACCTGTTGCCCAAATATTTTATTGGTAGATAAATATTCCGAGTTACTCGGTTTTAACTGAGAACACATAAGGAAATTGAAAAAATTGAAATTCATCAAATTAAACTCTTAAACAAGTAGAAATAACACACATTTATATGGAGACAATGTTTGTTTAAATTTCGGGCCACGTCGCCATCTTGAATTATCAGCTGATTTGAATCACGTTTTCGATTTTTGCCCCAAAACAAATTAGATGGATCATAGAACAGTACCGGGAGCAGTAAACCCGAAAAGGCTGTAGTTCTGTACTGCAGGCTGCAGTTGACAATGTAAACTTAACTGTTAACTGTTAATAGGTTAATGGCCGTTTGCACCGACCGCTTTAAGGGAGGTTTAACGATGTTCAACGATTTTTTACATGTAAAATTTTTACTTTAGGCGTTGATTATCGTTAAACCTCCCTTAAAATGGTCGGTGCAATATGGCCCTTAGACGTTAGCCATAAATATGGAATAAATAATTGAAATTATGATTCCTTAAACCTAGTTCATGCATTATCGTCTAGAATACGATCGGCGCACGAAGATAATACATGGGAAGCTGCCCAAACAATACTCATTATCAGCGTATAGACAGGAGCCTGGAGCAGGTAGAAAGGGGCCACAATTAATGAAAAACACTTTTTATCATTATCACTTTTAAGGTAAATTGAGCTGAATCGCATTTTTGACATCTATCCATCAGCTCTTCTATCTCCGCCATTGCTGCCAACTTCTTTCTTTTAATTATTTTCCTTCATTTCATCTTCGTATTATCAAACTCTTGGGTGCGTGACAGAAATCTTGAGTCCGTTTATTCCAAAATCGAAGTCCAATTGACACAACAATAATTTATTCCACGTAACTATTCACTCTGACACTAATCACTTCACTAATTAACTCAAACAACTAAACTCTTTACAACTCCTAACAATAATAATCTCTATTTAAAACTTATCACAGCGAATCTTAAACTAAAAATTATTTACTAATACCGGCCTTTATATATCCGTAATCCATTCTTCTAAAATACAGAATAAACGCAATACCCCGAATATCACTGTAAAATCTAGAATCAGCTGTCCAATTCTATACACTCTATCGTTTCCGCCAGATTCTCGCAACACTGCCCCCCTCTTAAGGTTGATCGTCCCGATCAACTGCACGCCCATGATATTTCGTATTTCGTCAGTCTGTCCAAATGTTCAACATTTATCTTACTCCTGGCGTTGCGGTGAACTCGATAAACCAAATCATTATTCCTCTTGATTATTCTCTAAGGTCCTTCCCATGCTGGAGACAATTTCGGCGACGCTCCTTTCTTTCTTGCTCGATTATACAGCCACACTAAATCATCTTCTTGAAATTCGGCTGAATTTTGCTCCCGAGCAAAATCATGTAGGTATCTCCAGAAGTCGTGCCCTTACTTCGTCGGCATAATCGCAAATTTCTTTTCGTTCTTCTTCAGGTATTCCAAACATCGGATCGCAAGGTAACCTGAGTTCTCTTCCAAAAACGATTTTAGCTGGACTTTCACTTGCTGACTCGTGAACAGCTGCTCTGTAAGCCATTAAAAATAGAGGCAAGTGTATGTCCCAATCTCTCTGGTTCTTGCGACCACTTTTGTCAGGTGTTTTTATATGGTCTTATTAAATCGTTCTACCATGCCATAAGACTGTGGATATAAAGGTGTTGTCCTTGTCTTACGAATACCCATGATCTCACACATTTTCTTAAAGATGTCAGATTCGAAGTTTGGTCGCTGATCTGAATGCAACTCCAGTGGCACACCATGACAACTGAAAACTTCGTCCACTAGCACCTGCGAAAACTTCTGGCCATTTACTGAAGTAATCCATGGTAACCAAGATGTATTTGTTACTACGCTCTGACTCAAGGAACGGTCCGGCAACATCTATCACTATTTTTTCAAATGGGAGACCGACGTTGTACTATTTCATGGGCCCCCGAGATCTTGGTTTAGGGCCTTTACTGGTAGCACAGATGTCAGTGGCGACGCCAGAGGGGGCCGGGGCCCCCCCTGAAATTTAGCTGGCCCCCCCTAAAAACTTGCCCTCATGTCGACAACAATGCAATGCAACATGAGTAACCTCTGCTCTCTGGTTAATTGGATATTTGGTGGGCGCCAGGCAACCGCGACTATGCTTTCGCTTTTCTGGGATTCCGCCAAACATATTTGTGTCGGTAGGTACAGGGTTTTCCTGTGTATTTTTGGCACCTCACCTGAAGGCCGGTTTCTCAATAGCAAGCAAGTCACCCCCGGGTCAGAGCAGTTAACCATAACTCCAGGGTAAACATTGCAATTGGACACGTTTACCCTGGAAAAGCTATCGAGAAACCAACCCTGAACGGTTAATTGAATAGGTATCAAGAAGATTTATCTATATACAGGGTGTCCGTTTTTCGAGAGCAATCATTGGAATATAGAAAACGGTAAGAGATACAGGTTCGGTTAAATTGGGACAAAGTTGCGCAATTTCTTGCTTAACAAAACGCTACTTCGAAATTTGAAAAATTCCGGAGATACATGGAAATCAAAATTTTGTAAAATCATTTCTATATTTTCCTGGATTCATTTGTAAAGGTATTTCAAATAAACTTCACTTTATTGGGGCAACTTTCTCCCCTCGACATAATGGTGTAACCAAATTTGAAATCCGACGTTTCGCCTTTTGCCGATCATCATCAACTTTATTTTTTTAAATAGAGGTTTGCATTTGTATGAATTGTATTCGGAGTTTCTTGATCCCCCAAAAGCAGTAACACATTTGGCCATTGATTCCGATTTTGTATCTCTTACCGGTTCCTATGTTCCAATGGTTATCCTCGAAAAACGGACACCCTGTATACAAAATCCAAATAAAAACCTTTTCGATACATTCAATTAAGCTGTTCAGGTGGAGTGCAAAAATATACGGGTAAACTTTGCAATTCCCATTTTTTATTTCAAAGAAGAAAAGCAATAAAGTAAGAACAATTGCCCCCCCCCCCTAATTTTGTCTGGCCCAGCCTGGCCCCCCCTAACGTAAAACCCTGGCGTCGCCACTGACAGATGTCGCATTTTCGGCAACAGTTTTTAACGTCTTCATGATTGTCAACCCAGTAAAAGCATTCCCGAATTTTATCCAAAGTTTTGTTGACTCCAAAATGTGCCCCTAAAGTTCCGTCATGTATTTCTTTTGATACATCTTCTACTCCATCTTTTAGAATAGGTAACTAGTTGGCTCTTAGTAGATTTTCTATCGGCACTTTTCCAAATTCTTTTCAGTAAACCATTTTCTACGGCCAGAGAGTTCCACTGCCACAACGCTTTGTAAATCAAACTCTTTTTCGACACAAACTGGTCCGTCAGGTTTGATTATCCATCACAAATACGTCTGCTTCTTTCAAGATGACATCTGTGGCTTCTTGAAGTCTATCCGGATCAAGGTGTTTCCATGATTTCTCCAGAGTCTGCATCAAGGTGTCTGCATCCAATTTCGATTTTTCAAAATGTGGCTTATTTTATCTGGTAGGTCACACGATATTTGCTTAACTGGTTCGAGAGTTCCAATAATATTTGCTTCTTTTTTTTTTTTACTGTTTCAGAAAAAACATTAGCCATTCTTAATCTAATGTTTCTATTTGTTCTTACTAGAGTCTTTCCCACGAGAAATTTTTCTGGTTTATCTTCAATAAAATTATGTGTTAGTCCAACGCAGCACCCAGGGTTTGTTGCCAATTTTCCGCAAATGATCTTCTCAGTACTTCCAGGGTTTGTGGCCAGAATCTTAGCGGCTTGAGATTCTTCTTGTGTAGTTATAGGACAAATTATTCATCACCAAATTTAAGAATGTTCATAGAAGGATCGAAAGAGAAACCATGTTGGCCGATTAAATCCATTCCCAAAATAAAATCATCCTCTATATCGGCGACTAATTTTTTGTGCCTAAATGTGATAAATCCAAAAGTAATCTCAACCATAGCTTTTCCTTGAACTGGTGCCGATTCGTCCGTGACTGTTCGTAGTGCCAGATTTCTAGTGAGCGGTTGGATTGTCCGAGACTTGACTAATGTTCTTCTAATTATAGAAATTTCAGCACCCGTATTAAAAGTGATGGTTTTGAATTCTCCGTTAATTTGTCCTTCGAATTTTAGTCCTCTATAATGACTGCCCAATGATTTTATGTAAACAACCCTGGGGGCTTCGTCATTACTAACCAGCATTCGCCTCTCCTTACTGGTTAGTTTCCGTTTCTCTGTCTGTTATTAGGGATGGCGTCTCTAGATCTCGAGAAGCGTTGGAATCGATCTCTTAATGGAGAGGACATCCTTACTCTACAATCTCGCTGAATATGTCCAAGCTCATGACAGCGGTAACATTCTTCTCGGTTTCTCGGTGGTGGTGTTTGTCTGAAATCTTTTCCCATTTTTCCACCTTCTCGAACCTTTAATTTCGGCTTTTACGTCCGTAATCTTCTGTTCTAGGTTAGCGACAGATCCGTGTATGGTTTGAAATATTTTTTGTAGTTGTCCAAGGTCTTCTTGCCGTTCTTTTTGTTGCGTGGCCTCTTCGTCTTGTTTTTCTTGTTGTCGCTTAGCTTCTCCTTGTTTTTTTTTTGACGTCTGGCCTCTTCGTCTTGTTTTTCTTCTTGTCGTTAAGCTTCTTCGTCTTGTTTTTTTTTGTTCTCGTTTGGTCTTTTGAAGTTCCAACATTTTGCGCAGAAATATTCAATTTTTTTTTCTTCCATTTTTGCTTGTTGTCTCGTAAAAGGTATACACAGAAGTTCTGGAATTTCTTTCAAATATCTTTCCTGGTTTTTGATTGAAGTTCCAAACGCGTCGGTGAAGTCACAAATTTGATATCTCCCTTAGTTTCCAAATAGAATTTTCTAGAACTTACTTGAAAATTCACTATCACAGTCAAAATCGGGTATACAGTCACTTTCGGGGTAATTTACGCAATCGGCTAACTCTCTTCTTCTGAATGTCACTGCTTACACTGACTAAATGTCCCAGTGTTCACTTAGTGTCCACACTAGTGTCCCCACTGGATTTTATAAGAATCGATTACGGATATATAAAGGCCGGTATTAGTTAGTAGTTTTTGAGTTTAAGATTGGCTGTGATATGATTTAAAAAGTGAAATCCGATTGTAGGGATTTCACTTCGCAGTACCCGAATTATATCTCACTTCTGACACCAATGTCACGGCTCTAGGGTGCGTGACAGAAATCTTGTGTTCGTTAAATCCAAAATCAAAGTTCAATAAATACAACAAATTTATTCCACATTACTAAACACTCTGATACTAATTAACTTAACTCTTTACAACTCTTAAAATATTCACTATTTAAATCATATCACAGCCAATCTTAAACTCAAAAACTACTAACTAATACTGGCCTTTATATATCCGTAATCGATTCTTATAAAATCCAGAATAAACGCGATAGCCTTTCTTTCCGAATAGCACTGTAAAATCTAGAATCAGCTGTCCAATTCTGTCCACTCTGGCGCTTCCACCAGATTTTCGCGACATTATTATTAACTTAGGTTGGAAGCATTGGTCGGCAGATCGGGCAGATTCCTACACTCAGTCTTTTTACTATTAGACCCTAAATACCATGAGGCAATCATACTAAAACGCCGTCAAACATGACTAAATACTCAGATTGGCATCATCGGAAATTTATGAAAAAAATATCAAAAAATTAATTTCGTTTTAAATGAAGTCGACGGAAAAATCTTGCAACTAATTAATATAATAAAATGGCGATTAATAATCTCGCTCATTAAAATCTCTCCATTATTAGTCGCTCTCATCAATACACTTGCTTGTTAAATAACCATAAATGTACACATACGTTTTTTCTTCATCCATGCCACATGTTTAACGACTTTTTTAGTCAGATTAGCCAATTCATTGGTTCTCACGATCAGCTTATCTTTCCTATAGTGTACAATACGAAGCATGCGGTCCGGTGCAATTATAGCACTGGATTCAGCTATCTAAAATAAGATAAAACAAAATGCTGGCTTATTGTGGCTGCGCGCGCTTAATTTGCATACCTTCATGAAGCATTTGGCAACAGGTGCAAATCTGACACTCTCTTTGGGCTGGCTTTCAATCAAAGTCCGTCTCAATTTCTCAGCAGATCCAAGGATTCGATTAATATTAACCATATAAATTGGTTCGTTATTGTCCCAATTTACCTAAAAAAAAAAGCAATTTGCTTTTAAGCAAATCCAATTTAAATATTTAGTTCTGATACAAAAATACTTCCGAGAGTGTAGGGCCAGGGTAACAAACATTAAGAGGTTAAATTAACCTTGCATAGAATGTCCTGAAGAGTTTTCAAATAAGATATTAACTTTACTACACCCTACATTCTGTATTCTACATGGGACAGACTTTATACAAAAATACATACTTACTATTTCAGTAACTGCCACCTCTATTTCTTGATGAATCTTCAATGTTGGGACGTCCATGAGTGCATTGTTGTTTATATTGAACCGTATAGCCTGTGCGGGAATTTTTCGCATTATTTCTGACATTTGCCGAATATTGCACTCGATTTCCTCTCTATTGCCATAATCCAATAGTGTGACAATGGCATAGCCTTGTGGCCTGCACTCGTGGATAACCACACCTCGGTACCTAAGCATGGGTGTCAATTTTGAAAAATATTGATTTTTCAAATGTTTATCAGTAATATAGTTGAAACATTGCAAGTTAAACTAACATAATTTTCTTACCAAAGTTCCTTGAATTGTACAACAACCAACATATCCTTTAGTGGTTTTTCAATCACAGGTAAGAGACAGTCTACCGAATTGACGTGACTCATTATGTTTTCGACTATATCCATATTATTGAGAAATCGGGCATAAAAAATTAGTGTGTTGGGTGCGTAAGGGTAAGTGACGGTGAGCTAAAACAAACATTAAATATTAGGTTTCACGGTTCAATGATAACTTAAGGCTATGGTCCGAACATAACCAAACATTAACCAAAGTAACCGAGTCGGTTGACAAGTGGTTACCGAAAATTCCGGTTACTTAGGAAATGCGAGCTTCGTTCGCCGTTTGGAAAAATAACCTATAATTTTTTTATGAAATAAAAAACAATTGACAGAAAGGAAGCAGAATAATTTGGTTTTCTTAGGACTGCAAAACCATAGCCCTGTTAGATTCGAACCATAGCCTATATGTATAGTCTTAAGTGGCAGAAGCGTTAACAGGTTAAAAAAGACTATGAAAATAATTCGACATCAAATTTCTTTTGCGCATTTTTAATTTTTTGTAATTAACGCGAATCAAAAAAAAAAGTATACTGATATAATATGGTAGAAACTGGAAATGTGGGCAAAATTTTTTGGAAAATGGAAAGTTCCATTGTAACTTGTTAACACTTTTTTAAATTATTATAATTTTTTGAGTACCTACCTTATAACGTCCCACGTCTAAGTTTATCCTTTTCACTTGCGGAATGCTCTCAGTTTTCGAAACCTTTGAAATTTGTGCCTTTGGAGATTCTATAAATTAAGTTTTGAATGCATACTTACAAGTAAACAACTTTGTCAAAACAACATACCTTGCGCGGGCATATTAACTTTACCAAAAGTATTTGGAGGTTTTACTCTTGTAGCACATCTTTGCTCAAAAGAATACGAAGAGGTGGAGGGCTGCTCAACTTTTGCAAGAGTATTGGAGGGTTTTTCTTTTGTAGTGGATCTTGGATCATGCAAATTGGGCACGTAATCTTTTCGGTCAGCCTGAACAAACAGAATATATTGTCACGGCTCTGGGTTGCGTGACAGAAATCTTGAGTTCGTTTATTCCAAAATCAAAGTCCAATTAACACAACAATAATTTATTCCACCTAACTAACACTAATTACTTTACTAATTAACTCAAATAACTTAACTCTTTACAACTCTTAACAATAATCACTATCAATCATCTTCGTGTATTGCCACTTGCCAGTATCCACTTTTGAGATCCCAGGTAAAAAAGTAAAAAACCATTTGGAGCCCGATAGAGTTGTTAATGTATCGTCTATTCTCGGGAGAGGGAAGCTGTCCTTCTTTGCGCACTTTCCCTGAGGAACAGAACTGTCAACTTTATCTATGTACACTCGAAATAGCACAGGGCCCAAAACTGAGCCCTGTGGTACACCCAGCGACACAGACAAATTCTCAGAGTTAATTAATCTTTGCCTACCCTGGCTCAAGTTGACAATTATAACATACTGGCGTCTGTCAGATATGAAAGATCTTATCCATTTGCTCCAGCTTCCACCAAAACCAATCTCACACAGCTTCCTCTCCAAAATATTGTGATTTACGCAGTCGAATGCCCTACTGGATCGCAGAAGATCCCAACAGGGCACTCGCCCGCGTCAATGCTATCCGCCAAGGATTCGTACATGGCCACCATTGCAATGTTAGTCGACCTCCCGCTTCTAAATCCATGCTGTGTATCTGACATCAAATTGCCTGAATCCAGATGCAATAAAAATCTGTTCAAAAAACAATGCTCAAACACCTTCGAGAAAACTGAGGTCATCTTGATTGGCCTATAATTCTCCAGTAATTGTTTATTATCTTTTTTATGTATTGGTATGACTTTACCTGAGTTCCCTGGTCTTTGATTGAAGTTCCAAACACGCCGGTGAAGTCACAAATTGGATAACTTGCTTTATTCTCGAATAGAATGTTCTAGAATTTTCTTGAAATGTCTTTTCTGGATGTCGATTGATACACTAAACACGTCGGTGAAGTAACAAATTCGATATCTCCCTTGGTTTCCAAATAGAATTTTCTAGAACTCACTCGAAAATTCACTATTGCAGTTAAAATCGGGTATACAGTCATTTCCGGGGTAATTTACATGATCGGTTAAGTCTCTTCTGGTGATTGTCACTGCTTACACTGACTAACTGTCCCAGTGTTCACTATAGTGTTCACTCTCACTAGTGTCCGCGCACTATTCTGCAATCGGATTTCACTTTGCAGTTTTCGAATTAAATCTCACTTCTGACACCAATGTCACGGCTCTGGGTTGCGTGACAGAAATCTTGAGTTCGTTTATTCCAAAATCAAAGTCCAATTAACACAACAATAATTTATTCCACCTAACTATACACTCTAACACTAATTACTTTACTAATTAACTCAAATAACTTAACTCTTTACAACTCTTAACAATAATCACTATCAATCATCTTCGTGTATTGCCACTTGCCAGTATCCACTTTTGAGATCCCAGGTAAAAAAGTAAAAAACCATTTGGAGCCCGATAGAGTTGTTAATGTATCGTCTATTCTCGGGAGAGGGAAGCTGTCCTTCTTTGCGCACTTTCCCTGAGGAACAGAACTGTCAACTTTATCTATGTACACTCGAAATAGCACAGGGCCCAAAACTGAGCCCTGTGGTACACCCAGCGACACAGACAAATTCTCAGAGTTAATTAATCTTTGCCTACCCTGGCTCAAGTTGACAATTATAACATAGGTACTGGCGTCTGTCAGATATGAAAGATCTTATCCATTTGCTCCAGCTTCCACCAAAACCAATCTCACACAGCTTCCTCTCCAAAATATTGTGATTAACGCAGTCGAATGCCCTACTGGATCGCAGAAGATCCCAACAGGGCACTCGCCCGCGTCAATGCTATCCGCCAAGGATTCGTACATGGCCACCATTGCAGTGTTAGTCGACCTCCCGCTTCTAAATCCATGCTGTGTATCTGACATCAAATTGCCTGAATCCAGATACAATAAAAATCTGTTCAAAAAACAATGCTCAAACACCTTCGAGAAAACTGAGGTCATCGTGATTGGCCTATAATTCTCCAGTAATTGTTTATTATCTTTTTTATGTATTGGTATGACTTTACCTGAGTTCCCTGGTCTTTGATTGCAGTTCCAAACACGCCGGTGAAGTCACAAATTGGATAACTTGCTTTATTCTCGAATAGAATGTTCTAGAATTTTCTTGAAATGTCTTTTCTGGATGTCGATTGATACACTAAACACGTCGGTGAAGTAACAAATTCGATATCTCCCTTGGTTTCCAAATAGAATTTTCTAGAACTCACTCGAAAATTCACTATTGCAGTTAAAATCGGGTATACAGTCATTTCCGGGGTAATTTACATGATCGGTTAAGTCTCTTCTGGTGATTGTCACTGCTTACACTGACTAACTGTCCCAGTGTTCACTATAGTGTTCACTCTCACTAGTGTCCGCGCACTATTCTGCAATCGGATTTCACTTTGCAGTTTTCGAATTAAATCTCACTTCTGACACCAATGTCACGGCTCTGGGTTGCGTGACAGAAATCTTGGGTTCGTTTATTCCAAAATCAAAGTCCAATTAACACAACAATAATTTATTCCAAGTTACTATACATCCCGACACTAATCACTTCACTAATTAACTTAACAACCAAACTCTTCACAACTCTCAACAATCACTAACTAAATCGTATAACAGCCAAACTTAAACTTAAAAACTACAAACTTATACCGGCCTTTATATATCTGCAATCTATTCGTGTAGAATTCAGAACACATGCGATAATCCCATGCCAGAGAAAAAGCAGACTTTTGGAATTTTGGCATGTATTCTAGATATCGTGGCGGAGGCGCACGTAAATTCTGTTACATGCTGGCGAACGCGCCACTTTCTGCGACAGTATAATAAAAATACAAGAAGCGCCAAGTTACATCATTTTTCTAATTTGAATGTGCTTATTTCCAGAAAATATTCAGAATATAATATTTGCCCAGTAAGTAAATTGTTAATCTAGGCGAAAAGGAATTTACTTCAAAAACATGACTTTATTGACTTAAAAACTTATACTAAAAGAAAAATTTGGATACAAAATTACTGCCAACAGCAACAAAGGGAGTAGAAGAACAACAATTGATAAAAACTTCTGGACATACGAACTAGCTGTTAGTTAAATCAAAGCTCCAATTAAATGCTAACCATTATTAGTGTTACTAGTTAATTTTGCAGAAATGCTGAGAATAAGATGGTTCCAACTAGTGGCATCAAAAACAGCTAAACTCACTTAGAAAATGTATATCAAAATTGTACTTTTAATATCAACTATAATGAATATTTTGTGCAATGTGGCTTATTCTTAGTCTTAGTGTTTATCGAATAACCATTTAAAGATTTCTAATTGATGGAAAAAGCACATAATATTTCTTGTTTTGACTATAAGAGAATTGGTAGCTTGTGCACTTACCCAACAATTTTGTGCCAGACTCGCTGCAGGCTTAGAATCGCCATCAAATAACTTAGCCCTCACCCTAAAATTCAATTTAGAATAAAACTCTGCCAATTATATCAATCATTGAAAATTACCTTTCAAATGAATCAATGATATCGTTTTCCGAGAACATCGTTTTCGATTCATTTACACACTCAACTAAATGTTTGAATACTTTAGCCTCGATTTCTTCTCGTAATTTCCTGGAAAAATATTAATTAGAAAAAAAATGCCAAACTCAAAACCATAGATTTTCTTACTCGTCTGGACTAAAAGGCTCTAATCCAGTCGCTCTTCGCATATCATTTAAATTTATAAAAACTTCCCCATCGCTCATTTGTTGGTAGGAAATAACTTTTCCTTCGCCAACTACCACGTGGCCCCTATAGGCAACCGTACTCTCCATTTTCAACAAGCCTTATCAACAGATCTGCAATAATTATAAAAGCATACAATCGATTGGAATTTATCGAGACTCTAAAACTTATTCAGGTTGGTCAAAAAACAGATTCGCATAATTTGCTTCAATTTTTAAATAAACCTTGGTAATATTCCCAAAGAAAGAGGCACGATTAACATTGAAA